GCGCGCGCGAGGTGTGGCGAGCGCCGGGAGGGCCTGGGCAGCGGGCGGGCCCCGGCGCGGCCCTCAGCCCGCGGCCGAGCGAGAGGGCAGCGCTGCGCCCCTCCTGGGCCGGCCGCCGGCCCTGCCCGCTCGGAGCGGCGGAGGGGAAGGGGAAGCGGGGCCGGGGGCAGCCGTGAGGGTTGTGCCGCTGCGGGCGGCTCGGTGTTCGCTGCCAGCCCGAATGCGCCCAGCCGGGCTCCCGAGCCGCGTTCAAAGGGCAGGCACGGCCCTGCCTTCGGTGTCCCCGCGGTGGCGGAGGCTTCGTGGCGCACTCCACGTGTCGCGGGAGGTCTCCCCGATGAGTAGCTTTAATTGCAGTTTGCGTAATTAAAAAGCAAAGCCTCTGCTCAAGCTGACTCCTCAGTAAAACACTTGGCTCTGTTCGCAGAATTAGCCAGCCATGGCGCTCACAAGCGTGGGAAGGATGGTTGGCCTCCAGAAGAAGGCGTCGGGCATCAGGAATATCTGTATATTGGCCCACGTGGATCACGGTAAGGCAGGTGGCTCCTCGTCAGGAGACCTGTGCGCTTGAATGGTGGCCAGGTACTTTGTTCACTGCTATAAAGTGGTAGGTTTTTGTGGATTTAACTTTAAACAGGCTTGAACATGATTCAGAAAAGTAAATCTACGTTATGTACCTTTTTCTTGGCCCGACTGAGCTTGTTTTACATAAAAGAGAATCACATTATAATAACTTGAAGCAGTTGAAATTGAATGTTTTCTGTGATGGTGAATGTTGGAATGAATTTAATATACGTTTGAGAGGCAGAATAATGTTTTTCTATGTTTGTTAATAGAACAAGTTTGTTATGTAGGTGGAAACAGTAAGCACTTTTTTCAAACACGTATTTTGTCTAATTGCATATTATAATGAGGTTCTGATGTACTGTTTATCATTTCAACCGGTCTTCTGGTCATGACAGGTAAATTTTCATCCACTCTTCAAAAATAAATTTGTTTGCATGTAACAGGAGTAATTTGATTTGTTTTTTGAAAGTTTAATTTCTACTTTTCATGGCATTTTATAGTCTTTATTAATGTTGATATCTTAGAATACTATATGTTGCATCTTTTGCCAACATTTTTATTTATTTAATCTAAGTAATTTATTTTTCTTTTCAGGCAAAACTACTCTAGCTGATTGCCTTATATCTAGCAATGGAATAATCTCCAGCCGCTTGGCAGGAAAGGTAGAGTTACACTGTCATATTTAATAGAATTCTGATGTGTACATGCTGGAATTGTAAATTCTTGATCATTAAAGAAGTTCTGTCTGTAGTCTTGCTAAACCTCGTTTTCTCACCATCATACTCTGATAGTTGATAAGTGAATTGTGAAGATATTTCTACAAACTTACTGTCTTTACTTTTGCTTCTATACTCAGCTGAGATACCTCGACAGTAGGGAAGATGAACAGGTCCGAGGAATAACAATGAAATCTAGTGCAATTTCACTGCATTTTGTGAAAGGTAAGTTGCTGATGCTGGCATGTATAAATTTTAATGTGTATTTCTGTTAATTTTCCCCATCTCTTCGTTGTTGCTGTTGTTGATTTTTTTGTGCAACTTTTACTTTTGTGTTTCTCAGTGTTAGGCTGTAATTCTGCAGAGACTTAGGCAAGTGAGTCAGCCAAGATAACTGATCTCCATATCAGGGTTGGGAAAAACATCTTCAATTATGTCTTCAAGTGGAGGCCATGAAAATAGTTGCCTTATCTTTTATTTTAGATATAAATATGTGTATTTTGATGTTAAGTCTGGAATTAATGTCACTTAAAGGCAAGACCTTCTTTCAAAAACTCCCAAGTTTTAGTACAGTCTTACTACTTTGTTGAGATACCTGTTACACTGTGCTGTAAGGGTTTTTATAGTGTAGTTAGTGTTAGGACATTAAAAAATAATAGCTGAAGCAGTATAACTGGGTGTCTGGAAGAAATATCTTTGAAAACTGTTCTGAAATATTAATTTATTGTTTGATCCTAGGTGATCAGGAGTATCTGATTAATTTAATAGACTCCCCAGGGCACGTGGATTTTTCTTCAGAAGTATCTACTGCTGTCCGACTCTGTGATGGTTGCATCATAGTGGTGGATGCTGTTGAAGGAGTCTGTCCACAGGTGAAATAAAGTGTATTAAGTAGAGGAAGAGGGGAGCAGGCAAAGTCTGAAGTGGGTTATATAGAAATAAAAGATGAGCTGTCTAAGAAGTTTTACAAAACTTTTAATAAATGGCAGTGCAGCCTGAGGTATGAAAGTCAGTAGTAAAAATCATAGTTCTGCTGGAAAACTGAACAGTGCTGGTGAATGGGTGTAGAGATGCAGTGGGTATGCCATTTTTCAGAGAATGGGATAGTTTGATAGAGAAAACTCTTAAGGGGAATAGTTTTATATTGTTATGAGAGCTTTCAGGGTATGGAAAAGAATACACAAAATAATGAGGTTGGTTTTTTTCATGGCTTTTCTGAATAATTTGTTTTTTGTTATTATGGGTGTTTTTGCCATGAAATCCAACCATTCTGCAGAATTCTTTAACAACTAACACTGTACCCCATGGGAATCAAATTTCTAGTTTGAGTGTCAACCTGTCCTTTACTCCATGTTTATTAAATTTTAGATTTATATTTGATGTTATGTTTTGTTTTTTTTTAATGTTCTGTCTTTCTGATGCTGTCAGGCTTTCTGTAATGTTTTTTTTAAAAACTCTTTCCTTCTCAGACTCAAGCAGTCCTGCGGCAGGCATGGCTGGAAAATATCCGTCCAGTCCTGGTGATTAACAAAATCGACCGCTTGATTGTGGAGCTGAAGCTCACCCCTCAGGAAGCATATCTGCACCTTAAGAATATCTTAGAACAGGTATTCATGCTGAGATGCCATTTCACACAGCAGACTTTGTGACACTATATAACATCCAGTTGGATTTTTAACTTCTAGGTGCATCTTATTCCCGGTTGGTTCTGAGGTTCATTCAGAATGCCTGTGATGGAGAAAAGAGTAGTAAATAAATGCCTCTTGACAGGTCACCAGGAAAAGTCTTCATTTTTTGAAGTAATATGCTGAATACTTTGTTCAGTTAAATTGCTTAAACTTACTGGAAGTAGACAAATGTTAGACTGTTTCTGATATTCATGGATTTATGTAGGAATGAAGTTTCTTCATCTTTTAAATTGTCTTTTAAGTTGCCCTCAAACTTCTTTCCCGCCAACCTGTCTTAGGAGCACATCTCTGCCTGGTTTCCCTTTGCCCTCTGTTGTTGCTTGCTTTGTTGTCAGAAACAAGTTCCTTTTTCATCATTCCTTGTTGTGAGAGACAAAGTGTGTTACATATGGTACTTTGATTCAGTACTGGTGTGGCTGACTTTGAGTTGGAAACTTCGTGGTGCTTATGTCAAAAATATCAGTCTCAAGCTCCTGTGGTCTTCAAATGTGTAGAATTAGGTGCATTTTAATTGCCAAGTGGATCACAGGCATGCTACCTTGTTAACAAAACTTCTCTTTTTATGTTTTCAAGGGTGAGAAAATTACATTTTAATTGCGGGGGTTGTGAAAGAGTGAATGAATCTGAGGGTGTTTTTACATATATTTCTCTAGATCAATGCAGTCACTGGAACACTTTTTACGTCTAAAGTATTAGAAGAAAGAGCTGAAAAAGAAACAGAAAATGAAAGTGTTTCAGACATGTCACCAGGAGATCAAGTTTATGACTGGAGTACTGGATTGGAAGACACTGATGATTCACATCTCTATTTTTCACCAGAACATGGAAATGTGGTGTTTGCCAGTGCAATTGATGGCTGGGGTTTTGGGTAAGTTTGAGATTTAATTACTGACTTTTTTTTTTTTTAAATTTATTACTGCCATTAATCTTAAAATATTTCTGTTGCATCGTGTTTCTAAAGATTGTTTGTTAGATTTTCCTGTGATATGCAGCTGTGTATAAATTATCTGAGTGACAGGGATCCCTGTTTTACTTACACAGGAGCTTCTGAGCCCACAGTAGGGTCCAGCCTAGCCTGGTAAACAGTATTTTCTTGCTTGCTGCTGTTGGATAAACTGCAGCAGATAAGGCCAGAAGCTGCAGCCAGGCAGGAGCTGGTTCAAGGTGCACTAGTTTGGAGGGCAGCAGGCGTATGAGGAGTGCCCGTGTTCTGGTCGCTGGCCACGAGGTGGAGGCATTGTCTTCATCCTGGAATTGTAATTAGAGGGATATACTGATGGTGACACAGGGAATGTCTTGAGTATTGCAGAGCCCTTAAAGAAAATCATCTCCAGGATTTTTAAATCAAAGTACGGTGCCATATGTAGTTTGTCAGAAGTTCTCCCCGAGTTGCGAGTTCGGGTAGTTTCTGGGGAAAAAAAATCTCTTTGGGCTTAGTTCAGAACTCAGAGTTTGTGTTGCTAACATGGAGAGGTCATTTTTTTAGCTGTGTAAAAACTTAAGAATTCTGAATTTCAAAGAAAATATTATCAATAATTAGCACTGTTCTGTAAACAGGATTGTTACAGTTGTAACTGTGTATTTTTCTTTCTGCATGCACAAGGAGCAAATATATGGAGATATTTTTTATTACTGCACATTGAACATTTTCAGCAAGGAAACCATAGCATGTTGAGGTCTCCCTCTCTGGGCCTAAGCAGGCTGCTTTTGCTAACTCATGGGGACTGCTGAACACCACAATTGGCTTTACAACACAGTTATGGCATTACAGTTTAGTATAATTTCCTTGGGTTTACTCATTACTAAGGTAATGGTTCAAACTGCAAGAAGTGGTTAATTAAAAATAATTACCACCATCTGATGGCTCAAGTGTGACTCAAAGGAATG